TGCCTTATCCAAATGGGACGAGCTATCAGGAAACGTTTTAACAAAAGTTGGCTTCGTCAAGTGGATGAAGAATCTTATAATTAGTTGTCAATATGTGATCGTCGTTCAAAATGTGGGACTGATTACTTAAGTGACATCTGTGCACTCTTTACACAATCTGTTTTTAAAATCGTACAATTCTCATATTTGCTGATGCTGTTTTATCACATTTGTGATAGATAGTGTAAACTGCTGAAAATGTATCCATCTGGGTGCATAAAACTGGACTTGACTTGACTTGAATCTGCAAATTATATCGTGACAAGGGATAACCCACCCAGCGCAGTGCAGCGAAAAAACGCTGTAAAAACCCTGCTCAGTGCAAGTGCGGTTACGCCGAAGGTACATTTGTCTAAAACTTCCCATGCGATTTTCATAGATTAAACAAGAACCAAGCACTACTGTTTTTTAATGATATATAATAATGTTCCTAAAATCGCCCACACAAAAAATCGCTGAAGTTCGTTAAGCTGAATTATTGGCAAGCATTTTCAGTTGTACTTTCGGACCGACCTGGAGTTGCGTTTCGCCCTGGGTCGTGTCTTTATGCATTTCAGTTTCTGTATCAATACAGGGTGAGGCTAGTTAAATCTTTATTTATCATTTCATACCGTTATATCATGTAGCATAGTCAGTTGAATGAGTGTGAAAGTAACAATGAAGCATTTTGAGTTTGCGTTACCGTTTGTACGAAGTTTGCGCCGTTGCCGTTGGCAGACATACCAAGAAGATGAATCAAACCATGGTACATTGATTACGGCGAGCCTCCGGAAGAGAGATTGTTATAACTGCCATGTACATACGAAACGATGCCAGTTTCACATCCAGGGAGTGAGATGCTAGGTATGCAACCATCGCTACCTTAACAACGAGAATTATAGGCACAGGAATTCTTCAGGCGATAACGAACGCAGACACTACATTTCTTACGTCCGCAGATGAGCTACTTGGAATGTTGACATGCGTGTTTGCAGATACAAACAGCCGTCTCGCGTATGTGAGAGATTTGATGAAAGCGGAGCAACACAAGTTTCTGTGTCGGAATTTGTGTGTAAATTTTTACGCAACATCAGATCGCACTGCCCATGACCTCCTTCAGGGGATAGGGTGAGTGGGCAGTCTCAGGTACGCGGTCCCCTTGCCTTCACCCAGTATTAGTGTTCATAGGGTGGTGAGACAACCGACGAACAAGGAAGCAGTGCGCATTATCTATCAAATGCATCTTTGTATTAGTGTGTTTTCACTAATAGAACATCTATCACTGCAGTGAATTACTTTAGTAAGTTGTATGTCTGCGCTCCAACGTAGAATTCCACGGCTTTCGAGTTAGAGCCGGCGAATGGACCTCCTGGTAGCAGACGCCTATGGGCCCTGCATGCTAACCGGCCCGGGCTAAAGCGGGGGGTTTACCGAAGGGCTCATTAGGTTGACGGGATTTGCGGTAGGTAGGTTGTTGACTAATAGACTGGGGTGTACGTAGGCCAAGTGGTCTTCGGCAGGCGGTGTCTGCTTGGTGAAGTAAAGAACGATGCAGGGTTGACCGCATGCCATTGGCCAACGCAATGATTTTGCAGTTTTCGTCAAAGGAGCAAGACAGTTTTTTGAAAAATCTGCGAAAACGCTGCACCGTGCTGGGTGGGAAGGAATCGGTCAGGCTCATATGCTACCTGCGATCTTGAACGAAACAAGACAAATTGCCTTCAAAAGCAATATTGAATCTTCGCTTGACTATTGCTGTGTCACGTTCAGCAACCTAAGAAAGTGTGACCTAAGAGCCATTGAAAACGCTCAGCGCGCCTTCACAAAGTGCATAGTTGGCTATTTAGCCACACTTTCCTATAGAGGTAGGTGTGACGAGTTTAGACTTGAGCCTATGTGGTTATGGAGATTGCAGTTACATATGTGTTTTCGCTACAAACTTTCGTGCTGAAAAGCATATGTTGGAACTTACGGCGATTTCGAGATGAGAGATAGCGAATATATAATCTCATTACCTAGATTCAGGACTAGCCTAAAGAAAAATTTCCACCCTCTTAGCTACGGCTCCATATGGAACAAGCTGTCTAAAGATAGTAGATCTATTGAACAATTTTTCATGTTCAAGAAAACGATAAAGGTTTATTTGTTAATTGACAGAGTACAATACGTTAAGATTAAAAACTGATGACTGGAAAGTATATGAAGAAGGACTGGATCACATATGATACCAGCGAACATCGATTGGAAGCAGTGAAATCTAGATCTTGCAGGTTGAGTTGTCCCAAACGTCTCCATACTCTATTCTTTAACGCATCCTCTCATGCATATTTAGTCTATTTAAATTTGCTTCATACTGATTGTCATCTGATCTGAGATCAGCAGCAACAATGGTTTATTGGTGTGGGAACAAGAAGTATCCTCGTAAGCTCATCCTTAAACTGACCAACACCTAGCATCTGTTCTACGATTCTCTTCGTCTTCTTCTTTATCTTCTCTTTTCCGGAGCCAAAAGGTTAGGGACATCTAGCGAATTTCAGTGCTTAGATCTATCGAATGCCCTACTGTTCGAATGTCTGCAACTAAGGATGATTATGAAAATTCTTTTTCGTTCCTTGGTTATGGATAATCCGGGCAGTTATTGGTTTTCGGCTGTCTTGCAGTACAATTTGATGGCATTTATCGATAGCATATGTTACTGAATATAAGCCCGTTCACAGACAAGCCGACAGTATGACTTTGCAACATCAAATTTGTCCCTGTATTAGCCGATGCCAAAAAGTCAGCCAGAGAGAAATGAAAATATTTCTCCACGTTTTTGCACATCATCACCATCTGCTCACACTTGAGTGAGTTTAATTGAAATGTACTCTACTACTGATCAGTTGTCGTGACCGTAATGTTATACTCGCGGTTAATGGGGCGTAGGGTCGTCAGAACAGACTTTCACCGCACCGGACGGTGTATTGACCAGCCGTCAAGTCACATTACAGATAAGACAGGCGACAATATAGCGCAAGGTGAGAGGGGGGCCTTATGCGTATAAACTACAGTGGATGAGAGCGAAGTTCACGGTCAGAAGTGTGAGATGAAGTTCTTGTAAGGTACCGGATCGCATTTGATCTGCTACTGCCATCCATCGCGAGCGTCAAATGTGCAATATACGGATAATTTTCGACACAAAAGTAACGTGTCCAGTTATAGGCACTACAAATTCCAGTCTGCAATACCGTCCGTCACTATTCGGTGGTGCTAAGGGGAGATAAGGTCAATGGTAAGCAGTGAATTCCTGGGTGGATTCTGAATGTTTTTTTTCACATTCCGTATACTCTTTCTATAAGCCGACCCCGCTCTACAGAAATGAAAAAGTGTCCAAAAATCATCGGCTTATATTCGGTAATATGCGGTACTTCTTGCACTGATGTGCAACATGCAGTGGCGTAGCAACTAGTTTTGCCGTTCTAGGCGGCGACAAAATTTTCGCCCTGACTGAGGGCAGAATAGGTGTGTGAAGGACACACAGTAAGGTTCAAGGTAAAATGCACATTAGTTTTCAATGAGAAATGGATGATCGTTTGAGACACTGAGGCAAATGTGATGAAAGTAACCACAATGGGACAAGTAAGGGGGATTGCTGAGAAGATGGTGTGCACGTAGTGTGGCACGTAGCTCAAATGTGTCCTTGGTCATACAGAATAACATAAAATTTTTCAACCCTCAGCTTAACCTGATATTTTGCCCTTTGTATTTGGTATCGGACAATCGACGGTACTAAAAATGCCGCCCCTGTCACTTACCGCCCGGAGCAGACTGCCTCCTGCCCTCTTATGCTACTCTACTGGAAACATGCCGTTTGTTTATTTATTAGCATTACTATTCTTATCCTCATTAATGTTCATTTTTTAGATTCTCTAACGACTGGGCTGATCCCTGGAGCTGACGGATTGAAGCTTCCAAGCAAAAAAGTTATACCCGTGCAAGTCGCATTGCTACTAACTGACTGGCATATAACAAAAAGTCTCATGCTCGAAAGAGCCCCATGACGGAACGGCTGACTGCATCGCCCATAATGTATGCCCAAAAACAGCCCTAAATGTTGTTAGACAGACGATGCTTTATATGGTATTTTGTCAGACCGGCACACAGTCAGACGGGGCATAGAAGTGCAGGTGAAAGCTTCCGAGGGAATACCCTGCATATATTGGTAGGCTCTCTGGAGATGGTTCCGCGGATGGCCATATCACTTCAGTTGAATAGCAGACTATGCCACAATCTTTTTAATACATTCAATTTATTACTCGCTCCAAAAATTCGAACAGTCACAAGCCTTATGCAATCCCAGAGTACATTTTTGTCTGACCACTCTGTTCACATTATCAAAGCCCAATCAGCGTCCGCCAATCTGAAGCATCTACGGTGTCGTTGGAGTGTTTCAATCTCTGTGTACTAGTGTACTGGCCGATTCGTATGAAGGATGTGTGTCGGATTTCGGCCTTTGACCACGGCTGTCTGCGGATTATGGCTCGTTGGTGGGAATACCCCCTTTACAAGGACGATGTTAGCTTTCGCGTATCAGATAGTACGAGACATCCTCTCGACAAGCTAGTAAAACTGCGATAGTTGAGATGGCTCCGCCACATCCGGCGGATACCGTGAGAACGATTACCACGTTGTACTTTATTCGCTCAAACAGGACCGCGATGAAGGTCACGCGGTGGTGAGTCTGCCATATGACGAGGCGCTCATGTGGCGCGTAATCAAGTTCAAAGGAAGATTCGCATGAAATAATGCTTTGATTTAAATGATAAACACTACAATCATTAAAATGACAAAGAAGGCAGCAACACAACCAAGTAGGGAAGAGTAAAGCGCACTAATGCGTCAATGGGAATTGTTTCATTTAAGCCAAGTAGAATGAAACGGCAAGTAACCGTGTTTGGCACTACGTGAACAACCGTAGGTTCAGTAGACGCAAAAGTACTCACCGATATCTTCGATTCCATTCTTACCATACCTTGGCAGCGAGCTTCTTCCATGAAGCGAACCATGTCTATTAGTTCTTCACTGTTTTGAGGCACTGCGCGACATCGGTCTCTCATTTCTTCGAAACAGGCGCATATTCTGAGGAATAGAACAACAAACACCGATCAGTGTGTACTTCACCTTGCGAACCCCGCGAAGGACGCGGGGAGACCGATTGATGTCCTAAATATGCTGAGTAATTGTACGCACCAACACGGAATGCAAATTTATAGATCTCAATGTGTGGCCTGAATGACGCACATGTGTAGCAATTGCGATCTTTACTGGAGGGAAAGCAATTGGCAGTGATTTCCAGTTGGCGGAACTGGAATGGTTTACTGCAGTCGGTGTCTACCTCATGACTGGTATAATTGAAGGCGCAAATACGCTATGTTCGAAAGAGTCGTCGGCTCCTCTGTACTTTTTCAAGATGCCGGACGTGCGACGCGACCTCCATTGAGTATGTCAACGAAATTCAGAATTTCGCCCAATACATGTGCATTCATGAACATCAGTCTATCATTTAAGGACTTATATGCGCGAGTAAATCGGCTTGTAAAATAAAAGCAAACGAATTTCGCAGTACCCTAGCATGGATATGAATCGCTTCTGAACAAAGGAGTGCATATTCAGTGGTTTGTCCATCTTAACTCACCTGATGGATGTATGATTGAAGATGATAATATTACTGTGATGTACAGGTCATCATCATCATTATCAATAAGATCATCAATACATGATGTATCCGGTAATGTCATCGTTAGATTTTGCATTAGAAAACTTATCCCAATCCAACATTCCGCAGTCGAATACTCAACCAAAAAAATCTAGCTTACAAAGAAAGAAGTCACGGTCAGTTAAGCAAACAAAAAGGTCTGCCCCTCAGTTAGTTATGGAGGCCGATCAGTCCCCTAACTGGTCTGATAATTTTGGGCGAGCGTCGGTATCCGTTAGGGAATAGTTCTGAGCATGACAGCCACAAAGATTAACAAACCTAAGAGAATGGAAAGTGTTGAGTATTGGAGTGTTTCACCTCTAGTCGACTACTCAGTATGGCTCACCTCCACTCCCTTTGGGACCCCGGACAGACAGGGAGAATTGAGCTGAGAAAGGGAAGCCATTGTTCTGATCGCCGGCGTATACAGGACAATAGTATTTGTATAGGAAAGCCAAAGCGGCAGTCTGATAACAAATAGGTAAAGCAATAGTCCACACCACTCGCTGAAAAGATCCGAACAAATTTCAGACATATTGGATTGTAATTAATTGTGCAACCTGACCTGGACAGGGACTCAAAAGCCCGAGCCATGGATGCAAGCGTCGATTAGTCGTAAACTGTGACTGAAGGATCAACGCTGTCCTCTTTACGTTCCCAAGTTGCATGCCATCAGAATGAACCGCGCTATATCGCGACCAGTACTCGGTCATGTTGATCCGCCGCCGTCACCTAGGGCTCAGTGCATTATTCCACTTCATATGTGTTGCTCAAGTATTCCTATTTCGTCGTTGGACACCTACTCCCGAACTCGGAGGGAGAAGGGACAAACCGGATGGCGCACGTGATATTGTCTTAATGGCACACACATCGAATGCGTAAATGTGTCTACCGGTTGAGACAACACAGTAGTCACGTTAGTATTTAGTACACATACCAGTGAGAACTAAGACGAGGAATTCGATTAGAGCTGTGCGAGTTTCGGATCTCTGGCTCCAGCAACGGGCAGATTTAGCGGCCAGTAGGCGAAAGTGATAGTTGTTGAGCATAGACACGCGACATTGAGTCAACGACTGAACTGTTCGGATAATTCGATTGACAAGATTTTTTCGGGCAGTAAAGGTAAGAGGCGAGGGGCATCAGAAGTATCCCGGTACTTAGTGCCGACACTTCCTAGCCACGCAACCACCACCAGTCGCGCGTGGGCTTAGGTTACCGCGAGAGATGCCCGGTCTGCTGCGCTGACTCGAATCCGCAATCTACGGTTTGTAAGGTAGAGGCCGTGTCATTTTGGTCACGGGCCGGAAGTAAGAAGCATTCGGAGTATATCTGCGAGCTTGTGTTCTGCAAGGAGGATTAAGCGCTGTACTTCTAGAATGTAGTAGAGATGTTTGAGAGACAGGTATACGGGGACGAGCTCGGAACGAACGTCATATCGAATGGGTAGACAAGCTTTCAGCTCCAGGGAAAACATGGATACGCGTTGTTTCCTGCTATCAACCTGTTATCGCTTAGCAACGTGAAAAGTGAGCTGTGAAGTAGTTACCATGAGGATGAGTAGGGTTCCTGTCAGGTTTTCAGTATCAAGGAATTCACTTGGTTGCCTTCGAAAGGTAGGCTTTATAATGAAGGCTGTTTCAGCTCCCGACGTTGACGTAACCCTCGTTGGATTAAGTTTCAACAAGTTGCATAACAGCTGGGGTTGGGTAGCAAAAGTAAATGTCAACCTTACTTAATAATTACCTATGTGGTCTCATCCTTGACGCTGTAACTTGAATTTTTGACGTACCATACTAATGTTTGAATAAACACGTGCAACAAAGTTGGACTAGTCACATTTTTCTCTGATCATAGGGAACTTGGATCGATTAAGTTGGTACTTTACCAAGCATTTCGTTCACGCTTGTTGGTACTTCCTTTGGTTTTTCCGTCTAGATTCAGGTCTTCAAGTCATTGCAAGGTATAAACCCCTCCAAAGCTTTTTGGCTTTGATTCGATTCATCCGAAGCTGTTACGTGCATTGGTCGCGGAACTAAGTGGTCTTCTGACATGCATGTTTTCAAAAGCGCTTCACATCTGTGCCTTAGCTACGTACTGGAAGGAGACAATCATTTGTACGATTTGTAAGAGCGGTGACAGTAATCTGCCCGCGAACTAGCGGCCTATCAGTTTGCGAGTCGTAGTAATCAGGTTGTTTGAAAAGCTGGTAAGGGATTCGATGGAGAACCACCTAAAGAAACTTAATCTTCTCAGTGCCATGCAACACGGATTCCTCGAAGGATTTTCGTGTCAGATGAATCTGCTTGTGGCTCGTGGAGACTGGGTCGAAGCGGCAGACAGTAGCCACGTTATAGACGTGCTATTCATAGGCTTTTCAAAAGCTCTCGACATTGTCCCCTATCTTAAGCTCTCACTAAAGTTTAAGTCTTCTGGAGTATCCGGTCGCACTCTTAAATGTGTGTCTGCTTTCCTGGAGGGGAAGGAACTGTGTGTACGCGTGGGGCGTAGCCTTTCGTTTAGGTAAGCTGTACTTATTGGCGTTCCGCAGGACTCGGCATTGGGACCCTCGTTGTTCGCAAGCTATTTAAATGAATTACCAGGGGAGTTGTGATTGTTGCCGCTAATGTTTGCCGAAGACCTTAAGCTCCAGTGTCAGGTATATATTAGAGGTTCTGAGGCACTTCAGATAACCTTGGATAGGCTCTGAGAATGGTCTGCCCTATGGTTGATGCTCATAAATCGGGCCAAGTGTTCTCTTCTCTGAAAAGGAGCTATTAGTCCTCCCACATGATGTGTTGCTGGCGGTGCTGAAACCCTTGGTATCACGCAGCAGGTTGAGTTAGTTGTCGTCCACTCATCAGACCTTCACTCTGGTGACCGTTAGAAGAAGGCTGCTTGCAGGGGTTCCGTATGACGTGGTTTGTTCACCACTTCTTCTGAGTCTTAACGGCCGATGTTCGTGAAGTTATTCTCGGCATACGTGCGACCACTTGGAATATTGTATCCAGGATGGTCCACCGTCTTATTCGAGACAAAATGGACTTGGAGAGGATTTTACGAGTGGGCAGAAGGTTGGCGCATGATCTACGGGGACAGAAGTATCCTGGACGCTTACAGTTTTGGAATGTATTCAATGTACTAGTGGAGGATATGAGATGTGACTCACAGTATTTTGACGTGATCGACCCAGACTTGTCCTGGCTATCTAGTCACGCTGTAAAAACCTGAGGTGCAAGCGGGATCTTTCATTGTTTTAAACATACTAGATGCCTCGATGGTGACCAACGAAACATCCACTCATCTACGCACTCATCGTTGGAGGTGGCATAGCGCAGATTGGTTTCTGTGTCTGGTGGTTGTGTGGTATACACTGCTTATGCGTCTATTTCTCATGCGCATACAACTGCGGTTCTACAGTGTTTCTTTCCCTTGGGGGAGTCATTACGGCATGGTGTTGGTTGGTTGGCGTTTCGTATCCTGGCTCTTCCATACTACTGGTAATCGGATCAGTAGTGCCTGCCTTTAATCCACCATACTCATCGTTCTCCATTGCTCTCCATAGCTGCCTTAGCTCGGAATCTTTCTGATTGTCGGGAGTGCTCACTGTACGAAAGAGGTTCCTCCTCTAACTCATGCTACTTTCTCAACTCACTGGCATGTACTCGCGGTGAATCTCCTTGTCGAGCGATTGTATACCCCGGGCCTCGCCAGTTGACCACCTCGTACGGTCCCTTCCATTTCGGTAGTTTTCTCTCCCCTGAGCTACAAGTTGGAGTACGTCCAAGTATTCTACCTTCGAACCGATCCGAAACTCGACACTCATCTCAGCACTGTTGGTCTGGGGCTACTCCATCCTCTGCGCTTGAGTTGCCTTCAGGTTACGGTTGGCTGGCTTCCTGTTATCGTGTGCCTCTAGGAGATATTCGGCAAGTTGGCCACATTCCAAACACTAGACTCACAGGTAGTTGAGGTGCTCGACCGTTCATCAATTGGAATGGTGATTTCATTGTGGAGGCCTGTTTGGATGCTCGATGGGTCAGAAACAGCAGTGACAAAGCTTCCTCACAGTCTGCACGCTTTGCCATTAATCCCTATTTAATCATTTTATTGTTACGCTCCTCCAAGCCATTTATCTGCGGGTGGTACGGCGTTCTCCGCACCAAGTTTCTCCAAGCAGGTCCGGAATTCCTCACTTTCAAAGCACAGACCTTGGTCTGCATGGCTCTTGGGATTCCGTGGTCCGCTAACAAATGTTTCATAACGGCATGCGTACTGGGGGTCACCAGTTGATCCGGAATTCCCGTTGCTTCAATCCAGCGCGTGAAATTCGTCATCAAGAAGATGTATTGGTTGGCCCGCCTGGTCAGTGGAAACGGTCCCACCA